CTCAGCAACCCTGAATATCATGGCCGAGTGCCCTGCCAGATTTTTGAAATCCGACAAGTATTTAATTAAATTACTGCGTACTGTAAATTTAGCCCTTTTCAGAGTGCTGTTTCAAGGCACAATATTTCCACCCCTGTGACGTTTCGCCTTCAATATGAACATCACAAAGGCGAACAGGGCGGGACAAAGTGATCCCCTCTCTGTGCCGTCTTCAGAGGTAGTAACAGATGTGTTACAGCGAGGAAGAGCAGTGTGTGCATGTCTGACTGTGTGTGTGTGTGTGTGTGTGTGTGTGTGTGTAAAGCTCCTGCTCTCTCCAGCTTTCACAACGCCGTAACACAATGTGAATTCACAGACTGGGACACCAATGGGGGACGCCGTTGCAGAATCAATATGACTGTCTCATGGGCGTAATGAAGGTGGAGCTTTTTACAACACTGCTGCAGAATTGAGTCATGTAAGCACTTTTTTACTGTCGCTGAGGGAGGCAGGTTAACATAAGTAAAATCTTATTGATGCTTTGAACTATAAGATAATGATGTAAAATGCAATACCCAAAAACAGAGTATTCAATATTTTCTTTTCTTAAAAATGTCCTTTGTCGTGCAACAACATGTTACTTGTTTTAGCAGGAGCAATCAACACTTGAATGCACGTCTGAGCAGAGCCCCCCCTTAAAGTTGGAAACCTAAAATCGCCCCCTGAGTCAGATCAACTCAAACTTCACCTTCATTTTCTATCTTTGGTTCAGGAGAAACATTTTGCAAACACAAGTAATGTTTAAACATTGCACACTTCATGTTGTTATTATATTCTGCAGGCTGAGTTTAGAGGCACACTACTCACCCTATAGTTACAACTGCATAGGCAAAAATCAATACAACTTAATGGAAGTCTCACACACACACACACACACACACACACACACACACCTGCAGCTGCATCAAATAGTAAATGGACTTGCACTTGTATACATTGCAGGTCACACCTACACATTCACACACTGATGGTAGAGGCTGCTGTGTAAAGAGTAGAGGAGCAACTTGGGGTTAAGTGTCTTGCCCAAGGACACATCAGACATGTGGCTGCAAGAGCTGGGGAATCGAACCCCCGACCGGAATGTCCGACTCTACCAAGTATCAACTGAGCCACAGCCGCTCAGACTCTAGAGGCTGATTATGAAGCCTGCCATGGCAAAATGAAATCAATCATTTCATTAGAATTTAAAGCACTCCTCCGAAAGAAAAAAAACGAATGTGACCCCGTGTGCTCATCAGGTTGATTTAAAACTCACACCCTCACTCAGAGGAAAACCGCTCTTCACCACTCTCCTGTGAGAATCCGCCGTGATGCGTGTCACCTTCGACACCGCTGGTTTGTAAGCTGTCATAAAAACTAGAAGGTTAAAAATGTCTTGAGTAATACTTGCATTACAGGAAATACTACACTGTAGTATATAGACTGTGACTGGTTGTTCTATTGGATTAAAATGCAGGAAGAAGTCACGATCACTTTGAAGGTTCAAGTGGATCGGAGTCAGTTTGGAGAACATTTGTTCCATTAGTGGATTATAGAGGTGATAAAAGAGTTCATGTATCAGCTGTTTTCACATCACTGGAGTACTGCCGCTGAAATCCTCCTGACCTGGTTGTTCACACATGCACCTCACAGCAGGATACTATCCCTGTCAGACAGGAGGGGGGGGGGGGGGGGGGTCTCCTGAGGTAAGACGTGGAGGACGAAGCAGCAGAGTCCTCTATACGACGCTGTAAAGAGAATATTAGTCTTTCTATCAGTGCTGCGTGTAGTTGAAGAGAATCTCACTGTGAACTAAAGAGAGGAGAAGAACATCCTGGAGAACAGGAAACATGCAGCAGCAGGTTGATTAGAGCACGGAGATGGTAGAGGTGGCGTGCAGACAGTCTATGGTCGTGCAGCGATCACAGGGAATAAAGGTCACCACCCCCTCCCACTGGCTCCTCCCACTGGCTCCAGGTGAATTCTCCTGATTATATCCTGCTGCGTTCTCACATCAGCTCTCACAAAGCTCTATTAATAAACTCTGCTGCGTCTGCTGTCGTATCATTTAATTGATGCTTTTAATGCAGGTCTATGTTGACTTGCAGCCTGGATACTAATTATTATTTTGGATGATACACTGCAGACATGTTATTTTGTCTGTGCATGATGATTATCTCTCTTCCTGTCCAGACAGCCGCGCTTCTTCAATCACCGACCTCGACAAAGTTCACAAAATATTTCCATATGGTTAAAAGTAACTGGAAAGAATGATAAAGACAAACCATTATGTAATGTCTTTAACAGCTTTTAAGTATCCTATGGTTCATCTGCAATCATTGTTGCCTGAAGATGAAGAAACTTTGTCAAACATTTCAAACCTCATTTTGTCTCTAAACTTGAGTTTTCCTGCAACAGCAAAGGATGAAACTGTGGCAATGATCAACGGCCTTTTACAGTCATGAATAAATAACACAGCGATCAGACAGGACTGATGGGGCTGGCAGGAAACGTTCATCATCAACATTTTAAATGCATATTACAGCCATGAGCTCCTCCTTGACTGTTCCTATCCAGGGCTGGCTCTTGGCAAAGGCCATATAGGCGGTGGCCTAGAGCGTCACATGCTGGAGGGATGCTGCAGAACCCCCCTTAATCTTGCCTACGGCACCAAAATGGCTGGAGCCGGCCCTGTTCCTATCTAATAAAGAAAAGAGGCCCCAAAAAAGATCTTTAAATATATTTTGTGTTGTGCATGTAAACATTAAATTTTGAGAAACTTTCCTACCTGGAGAACTCTGAAAGAAAATGTGTACATTTTACCGTGGTTTCTGACAGCTGGCGACTACCTGCTTCAGCGCGGCCTCAGCCAAGCGACGTATCAGCAGAACAAACATGGCGGCTGCAACGAGAGCGTCTTATTCTGGAGCAATCCAGAAACTGCGTTTTAACTTTCAGTCATGATAGAATTAAATATAATTGGAAGTTAAGATGGAAGAAAGAAATGGTGACCTATTAAAGTCTGTGGTGAACCGGCTACAGGACGCCGGTTTCCCAACGTTTACGGTCACATTACAAAGTACTGAAGACACATTACTACACGGCTAAACACATCGTTAGCATTGAATAGTGCTAAACCCTCAATAAGCCACAGTGGTCTCATTTCACTCAGATTTCTAATTTGTTGCTGTTTGTGTTGTAAAAAATAAACATCACAGCTGCCTGCACAAATAAGACGCAGCAATCAGAAAGCAGGATACTCATTTTGATCATGACATCATTACACAGAGATATGAAGAACCATGTGTCTCTGTGTGTAAACACCAGATCCTGAATCTGATCCAAACCAGGAGAAGGCTCGTAAGCAGGATGTAAACGCACTCCATGAATGAAACATTTCTTCATTTCTGTGACTTTTCCTGCGCTCTCTCTGTTTCAAGGCTCGAGGAGCTAATGTTTCTTTTATGTGACATCAGGTTGTGGTTGTCTGTAAGCTTGGCAGCATGTCACAACACGAGCAGTCTGCTTGGTTTTGTCCTCTGACATAATAAAAAGTGTCTGAACGGGAGCTCCTGGTGGGAAACTGCCTGGAGCTGCTGAGAACAATCATGTCGTCATACGTCACACATTAAAAAAAAAAAACTTTTTAAATGCAGAATTAACCAAATAAGAGTCGTAGTCTTTTGTTGCAGGGAATTCGATTCTTATGTGGGATTTTTTGGGGGGACTGACATGTGTTTTTGTCACCTTTATAATCAGATTAAAGTCAGCTGTCGTGGATCAGAGGACCCCCCGCCTTAGAAACATGAATCTAACATCCATCAATCACCAGGAGGGTCGGCCTGATTTTACAGATCAAAGGTTCAACGATCTCCTGCGTGTGCTGAAAAACAGATCCAATGACTGGATCAGTTTCACGAGTATTGACTGGTGCTGATTTGTGCATGAGCATCTTTTAACGGCGACCCCCCCCCCCTCCTCGTGAATCATAACTCACAGTCGTTATTCCTGTGACCTTGGACTCTGGAGCTGTGGGGGAATAGGAGATCCCCTCTGAAGTGAGGGAGGAAGGGAAGAAAAAAAAAAAGATGAGAGCTTCAACTTTAATCTTTGATGTCATCAAGAGCCAGAGCCCGCAGCATGTTGATGACATCACCGATTACAATCTCTGGTTTCTCTCTTTTTGGGGGGGGGGGGAATTGCCCCCACAAATCCAGAATATAGGTGACCACAGATACAGTGATTCATCTTGAGGGTGGATCATCCTTCACCCTCACCTCCTCCCTCTTTTGCTCCACACCCAAACCTCCACCCACCCACACCCCCCACCCACACCCCACCTTCTTATTCCTTTGCAGCCCTATACCTGGATCCCATTTTCTAGAATATTCTCCTCCAGCTGCTATCACGAGCTGCATCTGCCACCTGTGTGTGCATGCTTGAATGTGTGTGTCGGTTTATTGCCCAATCCTCGTGAGTGTCTGTGCGCATGCGATTTGTGTGTGAAGGAAAAGTGCTCACATGTAAAAGAAGCACAATGAAAGAGAGATATGTGTCATGTCCTTGGTAGCCCCTCGAAGGAGAGAGAGATCTATTTCTGTCGCCACAAATGGAGGTGATCAAGCAGCCTTCAATAGCAGAGATATACCTCTTCACACACACACACACACACACACACACACACAAGCACACAGAGGGAGCTAGAGAAAAGGCTAACCATTCTTGTGTGGCGCGCGAGAGAGAGAGAGAGAGGCTGAGCGATGAAAAAGATAATAGAGTGGGAGAGCATTAAGAAGAGACTGAGGAGGAGGAGACGGAAAAAGGGAGAGGAAGAGAGAGAGAGAAGGGGGAGGGGAGGAGGAGGAAGAGAGAATAATGTACTCAGAGTTCATAAATATTGGCACGCACAGACACACGCACACACACACACACACACAGACAGACATGCACACATACATCAAAGCAGAGTACTAGTTGTTTACCTAGAGGCATGCCTTTGTTGAGGAGATGTGAGCTTCCCATGGTGCGTTCCCCAGCCGGCGAGCACGCAGCACAAACCTGCAGTCTTCACTCAGCAGACATGAACTGGAATCCAGTCAGCATATGGCGGCTGTGGCCAGCTACCTCGCTTCCCTCAGTCCTTCTCCCAGCCCCTCAGTGACAAGCATACACATGTGCTCCCCCTCTTCTCTCTCTCACTCCCCTCCCTTCCGCCTGCTCTCTCTCTCTCTTTCTCTCTCTCTCTCTCTCTCTCTCTAACTCGGCCTTACCCCTCCCTCACTGTGCCGTCTCCAGCTACCTCCCCTCCCCTTTCTCACTTTCTATAACAGCTAATCTCTCTGTCTTTCCGTCTCTCCCTCTGTCTCTGTCACACACAAAAAAAGTGCACACACCGAATGCTGTACAAGCAGGAGAGCAAAGGAGACAGAGTAGGAGGGGGCAGAGAGAAAGAGTGTGTGTGTGTGTGTGTGTGTGTGTGTGTGTGTGTGTGTGTGTGTGTGTGTGTGTGTGTGTGTGTGTGAGAAAGAGAGAGAGAGAGAGCAGGAATGGGGAGGAGCCAACGCTGGCCAAAATTCATCTTTTGTTTCCTGAAAGACGACAGGGAGAGGAAAAAAAAGAAGAGTTATGCAATTACAAGTCTGTAGCAAGAGAGGAAAAACTTGTTCTTTCTGCTGTCAGAGGAAGTCTTAATGAGGATCATAAAACCTGATTTATGAAACAAGGACATTTTGTAACACGGACTCAGTGTGTGTTTTAAATAAACAATGACAAACCCAACTTCAGTAGCGGCTTTGCTCTATAAACTCTTCTTTATAAGTTTACTGTAGTGGTGGACAATCACAACAGCATGACTTGAGTCAAAATAGAGATCTTCCTGGTCGATTATGAGTCCATGAAGATAGATATGAGTTTAAGTTCAAGCCTCCTAAGTACTAAGAGTTGCTCCTGGTGACAAAATTCTTTGTCAGAATCAGGACATTTTCTAAGAATTTCCCCTAAAAGGTCAGACTAGATCTGTGCACAGATGAGTTATTCACAAAGCATTACCCCGTAAGAGAGCTCATCAGGTGTAAGACTGGGAGGAGGACTTCATGAGTTTCTCAAGCTGACGAGAAAACAGAGAAATGTTCTTCAAACACGACATGAAGAATATTTTTATTGACTCATAGCTGGGCAAAACAGACAAAAATGATTTGTGCAGACATTTTGGCCCATCTATTAATTTTGATCCATTTATTAATTTTAATTAATCAGAATATTAACGGACATTAGTACAAATATTCTAAATAACAGGTAATGTAGGATGTGCCAATATGTTACTGCTGCAAGAATTAGGTGCACATTTGGCGTCTTAATCGTCATCACCTGGCGGGCAAAATATGTTTTGTTAATGTTAAGATAAATTCACATTTTGAATTTAGTAACCTAGGGATGTGGACACCTGGGTCGCGCCCCATGTACAGAGGCTATAGTCCTCCAAGCAGGCGGTTAATCACCAAATTTGATTAGTTAGTCATGATTATTTGCATTTTTAATCACATGTTTGAAATTCTCTTATTTCACAATTGTCAGGCTTTTATTTTGAAATTTTGTTCGGTTTTAAGATGAGAGTACTTTACTTTCTGTTTGAATTCAACCCTGCTTTTATTTTGAAATAAATGAAGGCCCTTCTGGTAGAACGAAAGGTTACTACATTAACTTTTGATGTACGTATGACAGGCAGTCTAGAGATCTTGTTATCACTTCAACTCTTCAATTCAGTTCAATTCAATTTATTTTTGTATAGTGTCAACTCATAACAAGTGTTATCTCGAGAGTAGACACTTTACAAAAAGCAGGTAAAAGACCTTACTTATTGTTATGTCACAAAGATCCGGCCTATCCATCATGAGCACTTTAGCAAAGCAGCAAAAGTTACAGTGGTAAGAAAAAACTGCCTTATTAAAAGGCAGAAATCTTCGGCCGGATCCCCGGCTCATGATGAAACAGCCTTCACAGGACTAGACTGCACCGGCTGTCCATCTATTCCATCTCTGTGCTTCTGTCTGGTTAACACCTCTACACCTGCTCAGACTCTTTCTATTCTTGCTGTGGCGTTGTTTCTCTCCACTTGGCCACTTGATAACCACAGTGATATAATCAGCCTCAGACACCCCCCTACCCCCAGACTGTCAGGCTCTAACCTAGTTTAACAGCAATGATGGTTACATCACAACCTCACTATTGGTAAATGTCACAGACGGCCGGTGGGCTAGTTGTTCGAGTCCAAAAAAAGAGGCAGAGGGTCAGACGATCTGTTGTTTTCAACACTGTCAGAAGGCTGACTCATGACCCCTGTCTGATGTAATCACCCCCTGCCATTATCCTTAGCCGTTCCTGTCAGCTGCTGACTTTATTATTAACACAAATATAAAACAGACTTAGCTAAAAATAATTCAAAATGTCATCTTCAAAGAAGCATCAGTAACATGCTCCTCCTTATTTACTCCTTTATTTAGACAGAGGGGCAGGGCCATGCATAAGATTTCTGCTTTCCTTTGAAGACTCTGAGCCTCCCTGTTTTTTATTTGATAAATAAATCCAATTGAATTCTGCAGCCATTCCTCTCGCTGTTAAGATTCATGACTCCTCATTCTCCTTACAACTGAGTCATAAAGCAAAGAAATCTGATGGGAATTAAGCTTTATAAACAGTCAGAGGTAAGGTAGTGTGAGACTAAAAACTAAACTACATCTGACTACCAGAGAGCTGCAGGAGTACTCCACCAACACCACTGGTCAGTGTGATTCTACATGTGTTCATTTAACGATGATGACAGACAGAGGAGTCACAGAGGAAGAAGACGTGACTCAGTTATTCCTCAAACAGGCGGAATAAGTAACGGATGTAAAGGGTAAATGGACTTGAGCTTGTATTTCTTTTCTAGTTTTCTGACTACCCAAAGCACTTTTAAGCCTGGCTCACACTGTGCGATTTTTCCCCGATTGTATAAAAGTCGGGGTGGCATGTCAACTCACAATGTACGACTGAATCGTTTAAGACGCCCGACCAGACCTTGAGATTGATGTGCTCACACTATACAACCCGATTGTCGGGCACGGCCGGAGAGCTCACACTGTACGAGTGAAATTAGGACGGAACGTTGACAATTGTTTCATTTGAAAAAACAACAAAGGACAACGGTTGGTGAAAGAGAAGGAAGTGGAACTTGTTGTAGGATATAGAAAAGTTGATACAGGGGATCGAACCCCCAACCTTCCAGTTAAGAGTTGACCGCCTCAGTAGCACAGCAGAGGGATACAATACTGTATGCAAAGACTCTGACTGTGTAAAAGTTCAAGACTATAAAGCAGGGTGTGCTTTAAGATGAGGCTATTAAGAAGTCACTAAAATATATATACCTATCATTCCAGCAGTCGATGCCTCTTGAACCTTAAATGTTAGCTGGTCATCAATCATGACACCTCGGTTCTGGGCAGACCTAGTGGGCATGAGCTGGATATTGATCTGTGGTTGCATTGAGGGACTGGCTGGGATGACAAGGAGCTCAGTGTTTGATAGATTGAGTTGAAGGATGAGAGATATCAGCAAGGCTTGATGAAATCCTTGCTGAGACTATAATGTCATTTAGCGGGAATGACAGGAAGAGCTGGGTATCGTCTGCATAGCGATGGTACGAGAAACCATTGGATTGGATGATTGCACTAAGGGAGGTGGTGTATATGGAGAAGAGAAGGGGACCGAGCACTGACCCTTGAGGTACCCCTGTGGATACATTTTGCACTTTGGACACCTCCCCCTTCTAGAACACTCTAAAATATCTCCCTGGGAGGTGGGGCATGAACCAGCAGAGGGGAGATCCTGAGATGCTAATTTCAGTGAGCATGGATAGCCAAAAGTAGCCGGCATAGGGATTCTGTTTCCTGCAGAAGTGCCATCTCATTAGAGTGAACCCGCTTACAGCCAGACTGATTTGAGTCAAACAGGGTAAATAAAGTATTTGACTTGCAGAAATTAAATTCTGTATATGACACTACTATGTGTTGATATCTACAGGATTAAAACACGGCATAAGGCCGTGTTCACACTTGACTTCTTTTTTCAGAAAAAAGCGCTGCTTTCAGCGCTGCTTTCAGCGCTGCTTTCAGCGCTGCTTTCAGCGCTTATGCACGAGCGTTCTGTAACCTTAACAACGAGCATCAATTCAGAACAAGCGGGACGGGAAGTCAGACACCGATACAACATTAAAACATCCAGTTTATTTTCAGAATAACATCCTCCATTTTGATGGTTCAGAAAAACGACCATTTGTGTGTTTGTTCGTGTGTTTATAAGGTTTTTATTGAGGTTTATAACACGAACATCGGATTATCACGAGTGAATCTGTTAAATTACCGCGGAAATCCTTTGTCTCCGTACTCCAGCTGTCCGGCTGTGCTCTCCGTGCTGCAGACTGAGAACGCAGCCGGTGGTTGTTGACGGATGAGGATGCGGACACGGAAAGCACACATATCTGGTGGAAGTTTGCCGTTTTTTGGCACAGGTAACGAGGGACGTAGGTTACTACTCGTCCTGATTGGCCAGCTGTTAGAAAGGCGCTTGACGTCACCCAGTGCTTTTCTGAAAAGTTGAAATAATTCAACCGAAAAAGGCGTCGGGCGCAGCACTTTTTGAAAAGGCCTCCGCTTTATAAAAAGGTGTCGTACTTTTTCATATTTCCATAGGCTTGTATGTAAAAAAGGCGCTGGCAGTTGAAAAAAGAAGTCAAGTGTGAACACGGATAGAATAGATATTGGAATAAGTATATAAGGTTAATTAACAACTTCCTCTTCAACACTTTACGTGTTTGGGTGCTAAACCAGGATGGTCCATGTCTTATAACAATGCAAGTGACATGAAGAACAAAGACTAGGTGTAGTTCAGTTCTCATGCTAAATCCAAAGCGACAACTTGGACTCAGTAATGTGAGAATCTACAGACACATTTATCGTGTTGACAGAGCCGGTGGCGACCACCTCTCACACAGAAGAAACAAATATTCCCCGGGAGATAAAGAAATCATGAAACACACTCAGTGCTTTAAATAAGGACGGAGAGAGGAGGCGACTCCTCTGTAGCCGCACAGGGGAAAAGAGTAGAAGGAACAAGTAATGATGTGCAGGTTATGAAATGCTGCCCATGAGGGAAAGAGAGGAGGAGAGAAGAAGTGAGGGGAGGAGAGGAGAGGTTTAACTGCGTAACATCTTGTTTGTTTCAATGCAAACCTCAGTCTTGGATGTGTGCAAACCAGGCAGCTATTCAAACACATATTGTGAGATTGGACTTCAACAGTTACACCTTTCCCTCTCCTTTTCACTCCACGCCTCCCCTCCCCTCTCACACCTTACGTCTGCCTGCCCCCCCCTTCTCTATCTCTTTACCTCCAT